GGGGGCACGCAGCGGACATGGCCCCCCCGCGCCCCCTCCACTGTGGCATCGACGGTTCACTGGTGTCCAGACCTTGGAGGCACTCGGCCGCCAGGTGTACCGGCAGCGTGAAAGGTCCTCCGGTACAGACAGTGAACGACAGTGGCGTTTGGGGGGTGGCGGGGGGGGAGGGGGTGGCCCGGGAAAAGACAGGTCCGTCACAGAGGTGCTTGGAGCAAGCGGACGATTCAGGGTGTCCCCCTCCGGCAGGTGGGCAGCAGAAGGTCCAAGGGGCACAGGGCCGGGGGGGAAGCTGGAGCTTAGGACACCCTGCAGGCCAGACTTTGAGGAAGGGCAGAGTTGCCAATAACTGCTCTCTATGGAACATGAAAAGAACACAATATGTTACAAGCACAAGCAGTTAGCAACACAACTTTAAACCTTTTTTCCTTATTCTTTCTCAGACATTTTGGAAGTGGCAAGTTAACATGTGACATTTCATTTGCTGTCAAGTCCTCAATAATGGACATGCAAGAGCGCTGCAGAATTTGTGGGTCAAATCGTACATACATAAACACACATGCACAATATATGTGTGTGTGTGTGTGTGTGTGTGTGTGTGTGTGTGTATGTATGTATATATGTGTGTAACACACACCAATATGATTCCAATTTCGTACTGGCATGTGTCTTCCGGTTAACCCACATTCTGGGATTCTGAGCTAAAATGTATGCATTTTACTTATTTCACTGCACTTATAAATCCTATATTTCTCTGAAATGCTAATCCAGGTGAATCTATTCCCAATTGCTACATTTTACGAATGTTTATTATCGGCACTGGATCACAATTTTCTTCGTCAGCTTTAATTTGAAAGTTTGTACAACCATATCATAACCAGGTAAGGACTGTAGCCTTTTTATCAAATTTCACTGAAGGGCCAAAAATAAGTTGGTTGTGCAAGTCGCTAATTCTAGATGTGGCATTTGCACCTGGAGTTTGTTGCTGTTGCCTCTCATTATGAGGACAAAACAAAATAAATGCCAATGACAGTATAGCAGGCCACTGTGATGCTTTAAAAAAAAAAATCAGAATAAGTCAGAGACATAGCAAAAAATGGTCAGGTTTCTCAAATTCATTTGGTACATTGCTATGATTGCTATAAAAAGCCCCCGAAAATGGCAGCATTACAGGCCTGGCAGATTATATCTAACAGGGAGATCTAGTGTCCCCTCAAATGGAAATCTACATATTGAAAAATAATACCCAAATCTTTTGGAATAATGCAGCTCACTCCTCTGGCACTACAGTTTATTCCACTGGAATGTTAATGCACATAATATCCTCCACAAAGTACATTCTGGTCTCCAACAAATATATATATATATATATATATATATATATATATATATATATATAGCTTCTAAAGACTTATTTCACTGCATACTTACCAGGCATCAATCCATCTGTGGGCCAGCAGGTTTCAGTGAGGCTGTGAGGATCTTGCCAATGCTAAAAGAGAAATATTACTGAGATAAGAATGAAAGGGATATATGGGGTGTACAGCAGTGAAATATTCATTCACATGGGCCATGTTATCTGCTACACCAACCATATAGGTGTGCTTAATAGGTATACATTGAAAAAAAATCACAGCCCATCTGAGAATGGTCCACCACCCAAATAACACCTGGTCAAAAGCCATCCTGTGGTGGTCCTTTTCCATCCAAGGTGGTGGGAGGCCAATTAATTGTAAACCTATTAAGTGCACCTATAAGTTAGATGAACCTGATGAAAGACTCATATTCATTGGCCATTTTATGGGGTGTTTCCATTATTTTTTTGGGATTCACAGGAATTGTAAGCACTTTTGCATTTAATAAAATCAATACAAATAACATTAAACAAAACATGCTTTACCAAGCTGAAGTCCAGTGGCTGCGGCTGATGTTAAGACTGTGGATTTGCGCAACATTTAGCATAACCATGGCTTGGCAAATGAGGAGGGCTGACGTGAAGCTGTTGATCATCTGAGAGAATCGTAGATAGCACAGGCTCCCCTTCCAGACCAGTTGCAGCTAACATGATGACTTCATCACCTGAGGACGAATTAGAGATGCAATTACTCACTGTTGCTCAGGGACATATTAGAAGCAACAGAGATCCATAAACAACAAACTCCCTGTCAATAGCTATAGTACTGAATAGAGCTAAGTGGTATAGACCTGCAGTAATATCTTTAAACTGTGCTGACATTTGGCTAAATTATATCCCTGTTATATATATTTATATATGTGTGTGTGCGCGCAGGTATATCACACACACACACACACACACATATATACATACACACACACACACACACACATACATATACATACATACACATACACACACACGCACATATACGTGCACACATACATGTATGTATGTACATACAAATACACACACGCCCAGATTACATACATACACATTTAATTATTTATGTATTTATTTATTCATTCATATATTATTTTTACACACAGACATACAAACAGATTGCAGCCTATAAGAGAAGCTAATGAAACGGAAGTGACGATGGAGGACACCCTTGTCAAATGGCATCCTGCCTGACATTCATCTTGGATGACATGTTACACCAGTAAAAACAATGTCTGTGTAATTTTAAACATGTTCGTGTTACTAAAAGATTAAACAGAAAGATTAACGGTTGGAGGTCTAAAAGCTGATGTATCAACTCACACGGACGCATCCAGGCTTTGGTACATGTTAGTTAGCTGATGTTGGTTTATTTAGCTACTCAGGGACAACAGCATGGACAAACCCCACTGTCCCGTTTTTAAATCATAATCTGAGTAGCAATCAAAGGCTCCCGTATAAGAAGCTGTTTTAAGCAGTCAACTCTGTGGCCAATGTCAGCTAGCAATCTTGCTAGCATAACACAAATCTAGCTAATGAGCTAAACATCTCCAGGTCCGTCGGATGTCGGGCCGGTCGCTCTGTTGCAGCTGAACTAGAGATTCATAGCGAACCGCTGCGTGGTCAGCTAGATATGACTGATCGAAAAACACGCCTTCTCCTCATGTTGTGTTACAAAATACATCAGCTTAACAAATAAATATCTATGCAAAAGCGCAACCCAGAAACAGAAAGCTAGCCAATAAAGCCATTTAGCTAACTAGTCAGGCAGCGATAGGCACAAGGCTGGCTCGCTACCTAGAAAGCAGTAATGGCAGCGATGGCACAGGCCCACTAAATCAGGACATTCAACGGCGGCTAGCTAGCTATCTGCCTAGTGATCACCAACCGCAGCAAATAATGCAAGCAATAAATATCGCAATGCAAAGGCACCTATTTATTATAGCCTACGGCTCTAAAATACTGATGTAACGAGCATGCGTGAATCTAATTGATTTGAGCCAGACAATAACACACCGGAGTTACTGGGGGGCGTTTAACATTACTGATCTTGACTTACCTCGCCAATGATGGAGACCAGCGCAGCAGCCTCATCGGGCCTGTGGAGCCAGGCTAGCTAGTTCACATTGGTCTACCATTGCTGAGATCAAACAATTCAGACACAACAGTTAGCTCGCTAGCTAACCGACTCGGATACCCATGGCGTAATGCTAGCTATTGTCAATCCCCGTTCCCTTCACCTAGTACAAACATGCCGTAAAAATAACGTTCAGGATCCACTATAATCTAACAGAAATTACATACATAGGATGTGAGGGGCGCTATAGTATAGAATTGCTACTGAAAGCTCGACATTTCACTGCCTTCCCATCGTTTCCCATTAGGAAAATAAGAACGCCCGTAGAAATTCAGTGGTTTCCATCTGCAGAGCCTCCAGCCCCCCGCCCCCGCTGAACCGCACCATGAAGACTGAGTGCCAACGCCCCCTAGCGTTCTTCTGTGAGGTAGCAGCACGGCGCGCAGTACCCAACGACGACTGGCCGGGGAAGAACAGAGGGGGGCAGTAAGTTGGCCTGGTTACATTTTCTACATTTGCTTAGGCTCCATATTTGTGAGAACACTGGGTAGCAGTTTAGTGATTCACATTTCAGTACCAGATTTATTTTCGTGTTGAATTTTTGTTGACTTCTTTGGTTTTCCTCTTAATCTTTGGCTGTGTTCCAAACGGCATAACATACTAAATAGCACCACAAAAACAGCGCACCGTCCCATTAGAACTGCATTCATTAGTACATTATGATGGTATGTGAGGTTAAATTTTGTAATAGAAACATCCCCTCAAAAACAAACTCTTCCTACGCTTTTGACAAAGGCTGCTGTCTTCCCAGAGATAACGTAGCACTTTATTACTTTCATTTGTATTTAAGCCACTAGATATAAAATAACTTTTTTTTGAGGATGATCGTTTTTAGCCGCTCTGGGGACATTTGTCCACTGGAATACATATTTTAAAAACACAAATATTTTTAAGGCAACCATGACTTAAATTAGCATATTTAGTTTAATGTATTTACAACCATAATTCGTTGTAATGGAGTACAAATAGTTTTGAGTTCTTTGACTTTTTTTTGGAAGTTTTAAATCTGAAGGCATGTAAACAGTTAAAAAGGACATTTGCATTTATCAGTGTGAATGGTAAACGGGTTTCAAAACATTCACATTCTTAGATGAAAATCACAGTATGAAGTGTTGCTCCCCCACCCCTCCCAGTGCCACAATTTCATTGCTTACAAGGGCAAACATTTAGCATATCTTTATTGGTTTTTGCTCTTCACTACTTTAAGTTGTACAAAATACTTAAACTACAAAATAAGGATACCAGCCTTTCCCAACAAACAAAGTCTGACAAGAAGTGTGAAATGAGGAAGGAGAGCTTTAACAAAACAGCAAAACAGAGTGCTTTTGGAAGGGAGGGGGGCAAGTTCTTTTCCCTGTGGCTATACTAAGAGACTGATAGTGAGGAAACAACTAGTGAATGAACAAGCAAGAACAAAGTAGTGAAAACAGACAAGTGAGACTACAGTGATTTTAACAGCTTTCATTAAGTGATCTGAAATCCAGCTTAAGCAGATACGTTTTGATGCAAAACTACCACTAGTGTGCTCTGTGCATTCAGTTTTAAGATCCAAATACATGTTTGATATCTTGAGAAGACACCTTTCCTTTGTCATAATTATTTAAATCCTGGAAGACACTTTACACGTGGTCTGAAGAAAAATCATGGTACATCAGTAAAATCGCCAAAGTGGCTGTTCACTCTCTGGGGCAACTTCGCCGCGTGCGTGGTCAGTCTCCAAGAGAAACCTCAGCCATCCTAGGACATTCTCCTCAGCAGTTAGATGACTACTGAAGGTATAGCCCAGTCCAACAGTCTGGCTTTGCTGGCCTGTTACATCAGCCTACACATGAATGAGAACATGTCTTAGAAAAACCATATTCAGACACCAAGAGCTGGTTTCCTAGACAGGAATTAAGCTTAGTCCTGGACTACAAAGCATTTTAAATAGAATTCTTCCACTGAAAACAGTCCATGACAAGGTTTAATGCTCATCTAGGGAACCAGCCCCAAAGGCTTAGATTTTTCTCCCTACTTTCACTCACTTGAGGAGCAAGAGGCTTCCAGAATCCATTGGTTGAACCCTCAGTCAGTTGAGGAAGTGCAGAGGCACAGGAGTCAGATGCTTCCACCTTCTGTTCCTTTTCTTCCTTGCCTTCTTCATCCGGCTCAGTATTCATTTGCTCAAGCAAGCCCTGCCTAAGAGCATTTACATGTAGCAGTTCTTTACCAATCATAATTCAAGCTCTATTCACATGGGGCTAAAATTACCTAAGGACATTATACATATACATAATACCCCAAAGCCCTTTCACATAGGACAAAGATTGATTTCACCTTGAAATACTGGCCACATCTGCACATGTGCATACAAATCTGTGGTTGTGTTTTTTTGATTTCAGTTATTTCAAGTAGAGATCTGAACTGGAATATCAATGTAAAATTGGAAGAGATTTCCATTTCTGGCCATGGCCTCTTCAGGGTAAAGTACAGAGGTGATGAGGCTTACCCACATACACTTAAAAACAAATGTGCCACAAAGGGTCTGTGAGCGATGCCATAAAGCTACTTTTGCATTCTTAAAGAACGATGTTTCAAAGAGACAGCGTGTTAAGGACATTAAGGCAGGGCTTCCCAAAGTGTCCATTTGCTTTGACCTGCCAGAACTTTTTTTATTATTTAAAAAAAGCTTTTTTGAAGGACTTTTAGTAACAGAAGGGTTGTCATGACACTAAGAAATGACACCATACAGTTGTCACTGACTGCAACACAAGTAACAGGCATGTCGCTAGCATTTACAAGCTAAGAGAGTGCTACTGGCAGTGGTGGTTCACACCAAGTAACGAGTGAAGACAATCTTTCCACTGAATTCATTGTACATACAGACCTATTGTCAAAGTGCAAAAATGTAAATAAACAGGCTGCTAGCTAGTTATTCTCTCTTTCTGGCCCTCAGCCCACCACAAGTGTTATACAAAATTATACATCCAGTTATACATCCAGTCACAATTTAACAGGCCTATACTAATTTAAGGGTTCTTTTACATGGTGAACTCTTCCTAGATGGCCTAATAGTTATGGAGACTGATTTCTAATATGTTAGCATTGCAGAGTTCACATTTTGTCCTATTGGAAGCATAGGCTCTCCTAGTACAACCAGAAAAAAGAAACCAACCAACTGTGGGACATAGCAGCTTAGTTTTGTACGTCACCAATGAGCTTTAACCCATCAGGGCCCAATATACTAAAACATGCTAATGAGAGGATGATGCTGCTACAACACGACTTCAGCTACAAAACATGCCTGCACTAACGCAGCATACTTGTTTGAGATGTTTGTACTGTGCAATAAGCTGTTATCTAAAATAAATGATTTGGTATTTAATATTACAATGCAAGTTCAACCTAATAAACTAGCTTAAGCTAGTTTTGCTTCAATTTCCTGGTTAGCACTGGAAGCTAGCATTGGTTTTGTAAGAAGGCCTAAACAACTTCACAACCATGCGTGTTCACTGCAGCTCACTGAAGCCTTACTGACAAGTTTAGAGAATAAAGACTCAAACCTGAGCAGATAAACCTGTGCATTTGTGTATGGAGCTATTAACCTTAGCTACTTTTAATTCATATCAAAGGCTAACATTAGCTTAAAGTGAAGGCTAAACCACTAGCAATTCCAGCTCACTGGAAGTGAAATCATGTGACTTGTGAAAGATTAATCTTTGATTAAAGCTACAGAGAAAGCTTTGTTTTTGCTCTTCATAGCTCAGGGTAATTGGGCGAGGGTTGTTAGGTTTTAGAAATGGGGAGTCAAGAGAACAAATATTTTTGCATATTCATAGATGCTTGCATCTTAACATTCTTAATGGATTTTACGTTTTAAGGACCCTCCTATACCAATTGAATTAGGAATAATATTATATTATATATTATTATTATTATATATATATATATTATTATTAAGTGAAGAAAAAGAAGACGACGATGGCGACTACGAATACGACTACATTAGGTCATTCAAGAGAGTTGAAGACCGCCAGACAATCCACATTTTTGTTCCAACCCAACTTGCAAAACATGGATCTGGAGAAAAATTGTGGACCATCTGGGGATCCTTGGGAACTAGTAGAACCACTGCTCTAAAGAACCATCCAGTGAAAGATTTTTTTAGAGAACCAAGAAGTTCTTTTATGGCATCACACAAAGAACATGTGTAATTTAGTTCAACACACATACATACAGTTGATCAACTGGGTCATGTCCTTCCATGTTCCCTTGAGAAGTCGAAGGTGGGTCCCAAGCATGTAGCGCTCTCCGCCAAAGCCTGACTTGCATGTCCCAAGACCGTCGGCTGTATTTGCGGTATTTGTTGGGAGTGGATGGATGAAACCCAGGGATCCGAAGATGCCTGAAAGTAAAGAAGGAAAAATCTAGCAATAAGTAATTCAGCAAAGGCCCTCAGACTAATATTCAAATATGCACAAAAGCTAGAATTTATTTACTTTTGAAGTAATCTGTTCTTACTTTGGCACCTGCTTCAGATAGTTTTGGTAGCCACATGTGTTTTTTCCATACTGAATTTGCTTCTGTCTGCGCTTCAAAACTGACTCATTAGTCTCAAAATGTGATGGGTCCACATTCTGAGAACACCACCGGAGCCTTGATGGGGACCTAAGAATTTTTGATTATAAAAAAATAAAAATTCATGTCATAGCAAGTCTGCAATCATTCTATCAAACAGCTTAACAGTATTGATCATAGCAACACACTATACAGTTTAAAGTGCACTTCTGACCTCTTGATCTCATCTATATCCTCGGTCCCAACAGCCACATTGGCTGTAGATATCTTGAGGATGCACCTCTCAAGAATAGAGGACCTAATCAGAATTTTTTAAAAAAGAAGATTGAGACAGTAAGAACAAGTCTTGACAATTCACAATGTGCTCAACTGCAGAGCTGAAGACAAGACCTGCGAGGCTTGGATATGGTGAAGGTATTCCTGTCTTCATTTACACACAATGGCTGTGGGGTTCTAGAGCTACAGAAACGCACAGAAAAACAAGACGTTGTCACAAACCACAAAAAGTAAAAGAAAAAAAAAATCTCTGAAAGTAAAAATACTTGTTTTTTTTTGTTTTTTTTCTCTTTGCAATCAACAGCTTAAATCTTTACCTTCTTACCTGACCAGACTATCATACACCGAGCTACACCCTGGGAGAAGCCAGGGCTCAGGGCTGCCTGGCTGAAGAGGTGGTCTGACCCTCATATCTTGGGGTAGTTCTAAGTTGGGCCACAAGGGAAGAGACAGGCCCCTAAAATAAAGTTTAAAAAAATCCACACACGCAAATCTAATTAGGAATAACACCTAAATTCATTCGCACTCAACAGCAGCATAAAGTAAATATCTGGACCTTGGCTCCAAAGGGCTTTGAAGTGCAGTTTCAATCCGTGTTGTCATGCTGACTTTGCCACACAGTGCGCCACATAGTTTGAAAGAGCTTTAAATCAGCACCAGGTGCAGTAAGGGCGGAGCTACGCAATCATGCCAGCAAATGCCGTCAATTAATGTTGGCTTGCCCTGAATTCAGATTATTGTTGTCAGTGATTTTTTTTTAACCACACTTAATATTCTTTTTAATTTTTAATATTCTTCTTTATTAATTTTAAGCTATTGAAAGGGTAGAAGAAACCGGCCATTTCAATATAAATTTATGCTGTCGAGATAAACTCAGCATTTTATTCTGATTACGGTGACTTAACGTGAACCTTCCGGCTGACCTAAGGGATTCCCTATTTGAGATTTTTTTTTAAGCTGGTTTTTATGGTAAAAAAGTATTTCAAGTCACATAAAAAGCACTCGGTTCAGTTGGAAAATATAAATGCGGTACAATAATATTTCCTGTTATCAGGGGGTTTAACCGAGCTTTTATTTTGAATTGTACAAGTTCCTCCTCAGACAGGAAGAAGATTTCTGAGCGTTGCAACATGGCGTCAGGTAGTGGGGTGAGTTAAATGTTTTATTTATTATGTTTTTATGTGATAACATTGGATTTACATTTTTCGTATTTTTAATTAATGCTGTTGTTGATGAAAAACGTAGAGGTGCGAGGTGTACGTTACGACCGTACTCTGAAAAACACGCTGTTATGAGCATTAGCCGCCTATCGTTAGCGTTAGCAGACTGATGTTGATTTTGTCGGTGAGCTTTAGCGAACTTAACTTGTTTTTAAGTAAGCCACTGAACCTCTTGGCATCAGATAGTTATGGATTCGTAGTGCAATAAATAAAGTGAATTTGCCAACAGTAAGTGCAACGTTGTAAAAGCGTTATCTAGAAAAGTTATTTAGTTAGCTAGCTAGTAGGTTTATTGTCAGGATCTGTTGTGTCGACAGGCTTGACTTGTGTTGACTCTTCGTAACGGTCGCCTGCGCTTCTTTTCACAGGCAAAGAACGAATTTCGGCGCAAGTGGGACAAAGATGAATATGAACAACTTGCCCGAAAGCGTCTCACGGAGGAAAGGGAGAAAAAAGATGGTGAGTGCATTTAGTATAAAGGATGACATTATGGGGATTACCCTGTTCTCTTAAATCTCCTAAATTTTTATATTGAATGATCAAATTATATTCAGTATTATTACAATCAATTCCAGTGTAGCAAGAGTGTTGTCATTGCTTCAAATAAGATTTTGGCTTGTCAAAGATTTTTGTCTCAGGTCTCAGAGTTTTTGCGTCTCCTGACTTTGCCGGCTCAAACATCTATGTGACCTAGATGCACTTACTTTTTTGGTAATTATATGTTCATTTATCAATTGTTCTGTAATGTTTTTAGGCAAACCTATGCCACCAGTCAAAAGAGAGCTCCTTCGCCACAGAGACTACAAGGTTGATCTGGAGTCTAAACTGGGGAAGACCATTGTCATCACCAAAACTACACCACAGGCTGAGATGGGCGGGTGAGTAACTACAGTACTTTACAATAATTTCAGTTAGATTGGTCTTTTATACTTCTTAAGGACGTATGCTTTACCAATGTTAGATGGAAGTTTAACAGCACAAACATCCAGGATGTCAGTCGTTGTGTGGTAATGTAGAGTATTTAGGACTGCTCTGTGATGTCTTTAGAAACTCCATATTCAGTTAGAAAGTGTTACTTGTTTTGTGAGAAGGAAAACCAGAAAGGGTTTGAATGTTTGCCATGAATATTGGTACACTTATATCACCATTCAGAAGGTAGATATACCATTAGAGGTAAGGGTGAACTGGAATTACCTTGAAACAGATTGAACTATGTTAAAAACGGGCTTCAATTTGAAAATGTCTCAGCCATTGTAGATGTAGAATCTCTCATATTAAAACTAATGTTTTAGTCATTGTTCCATTGCATATCCAGTGTGCCGAAGTTCAAAGCCAAAACCCAAATTGCAATTGTAAGCGCATTCATGTTTGAGTGTTCAAGATGTATGTTAGTAATTTCTCTAACTTCAAAATGTGATACTTCCTTTCATACCGATAAACAAAACTAAGTTAAATTTACATAAAAAGACCACTGGATTGTGTTTATCCACTATAACATGTTATGTAAGAGTTAAGTAGCGTTGGTAGATATGAGACATTTTTGGTGTCATCGCATACTGGGTTCAGCATATTCCAATTAGATAAATTTACATCCCTACTGTTTCTGCATACAGTAATATTAATTATATCTTATTTTTGTGTATACATTTTGTGTATAAAGTGCTGAAATGAACAGCCATGAGTTAATTTTAAAAATGAGAATTTGTTTTTTGTCAATAGAATTTGGCAAAATGTAGGAGACACATACAGACAGACAGAATTTTTTGGCATTAATTTTTTTTTTTCAGCCCTACTGAGGTTTCATTTTTTACAACAAATTCTCAACAGTTGAATGATATGAATAAAGAGGTTAGGCTTCGTAGAATGAGTTTCTCTAAATCTACATAACAAACACACATAAGTATGTAATGCTTTCAACCAAAAAGTCAGTTTGCACCAAATAAATAAACATTCCTGGTACCTTTAGCCTCTGTGATGTATGAAACTTTGATTTGGATCAGTGCAGTTGATTAGTTTTGCTCAGACTTTTCATATGATTTGGTGCATCACTACAGTTAAGCGTGTCTTATCAGTAAGTGATTTTGACACAATAAAAAACACATTATGGTGAAATTAATCTTCGCGTAGCACTGAAGTTTCTTGTGTGTGTAAAGTTTTCTCCATAAAAGCAAAGTGTAAAAATGCATTTCCAAACTAAGCCCTTCATTTATTGTTGTTGTTGTTGTTGTTGTTGCTCCTTGCTTAATAAAAACTGGGTTATATTCTCTTATTTAAAAAAAGTGAGTGATTTGGCAAAATTAAATTAGATTCATTTTTTGTGTATTTGTCCTGAAGTAAATTATGTTTGGTCTGCATTTTTACTATGACTGTTATTTATAATTATTATTTACATTAATGCTTTTGTTGCTGTTGTTGTTTAAACTCAGGTACTACTGCAATGTTTGTGATTGTGTTGTGAAAGATTCCATCAACTTTTTGGATCATATCAATGGCAAGAAACGTGAGTATTTCATTCTTTCATTTTCTGCATCATCAATTATAGACTATAAAGCACTATAAATGCAAAGATTGAAATGCTGGTCTTCTTTCTCTAGACCAGAGGAACCTGGGAATGTCGATGCGAGTGGAACGCTCCTCATTGGACCAGGTTAAAAAACGCTTTGAGATGAATAAGAAGAAGATGGAGGAAAAACAGAAGGAATATGATTTTGAAGAACGAATGAAGGAGTTAAGAGAAGAGGTTTGTTATTGAATTCAACTGTTTCAGCAGTTTAACACGTTTGTTAAGGCAGGTTTACACTGTGGTAATTGTCACGACAGTGCTGTCGCAGAGAAAAACCATGAGCGACTTCTTTGATTGTGAGTTAAAATCGGTGGTCTTTGAATGATTTTTTGACGTGCTTCACAGCCAATTTACTGCCTCTGCGACCAAAGACCCTACAACACATGGCAACACACGGCTAAAAACAACCTCTAAGGAGCAGCGCGGAATGATGTGTGTGCGTGAGAGAGAGGGATGATAAGTAAAAAAAAAAATTGAGCTTGCTGACAAGTTTAAGAATATTAGCTTACATTATTAGTCTGGCTCATTCTTCAGTTCACATATAGAGTGAGCTACAGTGTAATAGCGGAGCCAGTTACTGCATAGGACAGAAGAATTAACCTACTGACCTGAAGTTCACTTTGGAGAATGAGCATTCCATGTAGCCCTTTCACCCAGCCAAGCATAACTCCAGCCTCTCCTTCTCAGCCTAATACGTTTTTGTTTGTTTTTGTTTTTTTTTCCCCAGGCAAAGCATCGCTGCTATTATGTCAGCAACAAAAGAAAAAGCATGCAAAATGTCATCATTTTCTAGCATTGTAAATCTGTCTGAAATTTATCATATGATCTGATATGCAGCATAACCGAATTGGCACAGTCTGACTTGGAGTTTGGCCAAGATTTTATTTGCAGCATCTCCTGCAGTGTGCCATGCATTACGTACAATATTGCTGTAATTGCACAGCTTTAGTTCTTTTAAGTACCTCTGAGTAAAGAAAATATTTAGTATTTTGAATGTCATTCTATACATTACTAAGTTCTTTCTGAAGAATGGATTCCCTCTGGTTTTACTGTTCATGTTTTATATATTATATCTTGATTTTTTTTTTTTATTCAGGAGGAAAAAGCAAAGGCCTACAAAAAAGAGAAGCTAAAAGAAAAGAAGAGAAAGGCAGAGGAAGACCTTAATTTTGAAGAGGATGATGAAATGGCTGCTGTAATGGGATTCTCTGGGTTTGGGTCCTCCAAAAAGAGCCACTGATTCCAACTCCTGTTTCATACATATCCATGCCCAAGCCTTTCTTCATGGTTCTCTATAATCCTTTCAGAGTGGAGAACTGCACAGTTGTCATCACAGAGTGAAAGAACTCTTAAACGTTTTTGACTGGATATCATGGCTTTTATTTGTCTGCCTACACCTGATGTCAGTTATGTCAACTACTGTGAATGCCATGAGCAAGGACTAAACCAACAACTAATCAGCCTGTTTTCCACCACTCAGTTATTTTATTACAACTCTAATTGAAATTGTAGTGGTGAAGCAGTATGAGTTGAATGTTGTTGCTAGTTTGATTCTTGTTGTAAATATGGTGTTTTTCTATTGTTGTGTTTTTTTTTTTGTTTTTTTTAAATTCCACTTGTCTGTCTTTGATTTTAAGTTACAGAATATGGTAAAGCAATATGGTGTTTTTGAAGTCACAAGAATGAATATTTTCATTCACATAACCATGTCTTTTCAGGTCTGCAACATTGCTATAGGGTAGAGATGAGCATAGAATTAAGACGTTTTGTGTCAGGGCTGTTCCTTTTTATTTCCTTTATGCAACTCAAACATGTTCTTGTAAA